AGTTAATATGGGCGGATGTGAAGAATTTTGTAGCTCAGCATAACACCACGTTCAAATTTGCAGATCTCAAAGTACTTTTTGATGAGGCTTTGAAAAGAGTCACAGCGGAGAAATGGGAGAAGTGTGTTCGGCATGTGATATCGGAAGTCGAGACAAAGATGTGGAAGCTTGATAACATAATAGAGGCACAAATCGAGCCACTGATAATTCAGATTGGTGAGGATGACACTACTGATGAAGAGACAAATTCATCCAGTTGAATAATTTTGATTAATATTCTTTTTGATTTTACATAAAATAAAAATTATCAATAAAGAAATAATTACGTCTCTTTACATATAATGCTTGAGTGCGCTGTGAAAAATCCAATGAAAATCTTTTTATATTACACATATTATCTGCATTTTTCCCGTTAAACTGCAAAACTTGTGCATTTCACTCGTTATTATTAAAATGTCTTCCTAAGTATGATATAGCATATAGCGATCAACAAGATGTTGGTTCTGAATATGACCCTGGGCAATTCTTAGGATTTTCAATATCACGTGCGTAGGGCATGTCGATGTTTACATCCACTCTATGTTGGATTTGAATTTGCTTTAGTCTGAAGGACCTTCCATGTTCAGCATACTGAGAAATTTCGGCCAGATTGTCCCACATGTATATACACTATTACAATCAGGACACTTAAGCTCAAAAACTCTTATCTGTACTCTTTTACCAAAATATGGTAAAATAGAAGTTTCTCGATTTCTGATTGTTTGATCTGAAGGTATATAAATCTGTACGTGAATTCTGATTAACTTCTGGATTGGGTCTGCGTTGAAACCATTATTCTGGTTTCATGGACACGCGGGTTTCATGGAAAACTACCCTGATTTTTTCTATGATAGGATGTAGGAAAAACACCCCTGTGCCATATTAATATTCTATGTTGATATTCTGATAGTCCAATCAAAGTTGCAACGACAAAGTGTGAACATATTTTCTTAATTTTTGTAAATGAGGAAGATATAGGAAATTATAGAATTTTTAATTTTTTTTTTATTTTGTGTTCCTATATCGGAAACTCAAAAACATACAGTCGATTTTTTGGTATCTTTCAATAGTACCTGAAAATAGACAACTTTGTTACAACTTAGCCTCCTCAATCTCTGAACATCTCATTATTACTTTTGAGATAAAGACAAATTGAACAATCTTTGAAAAAATCGTGTTTTTCCGTTAATCAGTTGTTGCCCCCTACAAACGACAACTCAGAAAGTCAAAAGTGCAAGCTGCGAGTTGACGAGGTTTTGTCCTTTAACGTGTGATTTTTTCGGAATTTTACAACTCAACTTTTTCATTAGAATATATTTACTGCAAATTGAAACGGAGCCGTTGTATTTATGAAGTCCTTTCTCTTTCAGATTAGTTGAACTTTATTGAAAGATTGAATTCATATTGAAAGGGGGTGTTAGAAGAGATACATTAATAAATGAAATGTTGGATTTGAAAATAGGTACTCGGTTATGGGACCGGTGTCACCAACTGGTGACGCCTAGAAAAAAAGTGAATATGCGTATAAAACCTTCGATTTCAAGAGCCATGACTATTGCGCTTTTCCGCTGTCGATCAATTTTTCGTTAATATTTGTTAAGGTCGGTTTAGGTTTCTCAATAATTTTATTAACGTCATCATGTAAACCTTCTAAAAGATAACGGAGGAACTCATGGGCGTCTCGATGCGCATGACCCATGAAGCGAGGGGCAAAACTGTGAATCTGACTTTTTAGGGAGACTGCGTTCACTCCTCTATCAGATGAATCTTCTGACCACAATTCCTTGATAACTTCTGCGGAAGTTTTGATTAAAGCACCCTCCGTATTAGAAATATTAGTATTGATATCTTTCATGTACCTACTCATCCTTTTCCAAATATTCTAGTAACCATCTCGTATTTGATAAACACTGGATTGCACTGTTCATGAAACAGATGTTGAAAACCCATTAAGCCAAAGGGTTTTGACTGAGGAATGTATCACTGATTCAATTGTGTTGTAGCTGTTGGTGATACGTTCGCCACCGCTGTTTTCATTCCAGTAATCACGGATGTAATGATTCTTCCCATTATTGGACCAACGGAATGAGGAATTTGAAGTTAAATTTCTTGAAATTGAATCAGAAATACTCATGGTGGTTTTTTCGAATTTGTGAAAGAAAGATAATTCCAGAACTTGTTTATTTTCCTCTGCATCTTCTGAGACAATTGGTCAATNTTGGGAAGCTAACCTGAAATGCCATCGGAAAACAAATCCACATGTTTCTAGAAATGATATGACATCGAGAAAGGTTAATGCAGTCAAGCTGCTAGAAAATTATTCCATGAAAATCAAAATATAAATAGATAAGTACTATTTTGATCATTCCCATATTGATTTCAATTTAAGAGCCACCGGTAGACAGCTGTTTTAGCCTATTGGGCATCGTCAGTACCGGGCAGGCGGTCCTCGATTGAAGACAAGAAAATTACTTGATAACAGTAACATGTGGATTCGTTTTCCGATGGCATTTCAGGTTAGCTTCCCAAATTTCTGCTACCACAGTTGTCGGTTGATTAGTGAAACCACCAACACTGACATGAAAACTTGGCAAGTTGACTTGGGTGTCACACCAATAGGTAGTTCCACTTATATCTTAGGGAAGCTATAGATTACGCTGTAGACGACCCTTCTCGATATAGAAGGCCCCGACACTGTCGAATGAGGCCCCTATGTCCTCCGTTAACAGATGAATAATATCTTCATCCATCTACCCCAGCCAGGTAGGGGTACACCGCGAAGGGCGGTATGGATGTCTGAGGACTTTCATGCCACCATCACAGATCAGTCATGACCCATTCGTCCCTCTGACGAAAAATAGTCCAAAGGGTAAGGGAGCAAGGCTCCAGCTTGATAGAAACGATGATAACTATCACATATTGTCTTCAATCGAGGACCGCCTGCCCGGTACTGACGATGACCAATAGGCTGAAAAAGCTGTCTACCGGTGGCTCTTCAATTGAAATCAATATGGGAATGATCAAAATAGTACTTATCTATTTATATTTTGATTTTCATGGAGACATTTTCCAGCAGCTTGACTGCATTAACCTTTCTCGATGAATAACGAAATTAGTTAGCTCCCTAAATATATTATAAGATGGGAGCTGTTGGAAGGCAGGTTGCACTATATCGTTTACTTGAACTATACCTACGACCAACTGGCAAGATCTCCTGATACACTGCCCAAGATAATCGAAGAAAACAGTGAGCAAGACCTTGAGATTTGATCGAACTTGGTGTGCTTTTTGTGGTCACCAATTATGACCCTCTCAAGCTAATCTGGAACGCAACTGACGTCGATCAACAATTCCTGAACGATGCACATGCGACGGTTTTCTTGGTCAAAATTCCGCAATTTTGAAACGAACTTCCCTGTCACACGCTTCATGCTCAAAATTTCCGAAAAACTGGCATGGCATGAGCCACCCAATATGCTGACATCCTCAGCAACTTCTCCAATAGTGATTCAACGATTCTCCATAACGACTTTCTCACTTTTTCAACATTTTCATTGGTTATTGGTGTGCTGGGACGTCTAGGGCAAGCGTCGTCTTTCACATCTTATCGACCTTCTGTAAAAAGCTTGTACTGCTTGTAAACATTTTTCTGACTCTGAGTACAATCACCATATGCCACTGTCACCATTTCAAGTGTTTTTGAGCACTGAATTCCATTTTTGCACAACATTTGATGCAATTTTATGATAAATTTTTTTCGATAGCAGAAAATAGCCGTAAAAGCTGAACACTTCTAACTTTAATACCTCCCACCAACAAACTAAACATACTAAACGTAAACATTTTTCTGACTCTGAGTACAATCACCATATGCCACTGTCAGCATTTCAAGTGTTTTTGAGCACTGAATTCCATTTTTGCACAACATTTGATGCAATTTTATGATACATTTTTTTCGATAGCAGAAAATAGCCGCAAACGCTGAACACTTCTAACTTTAATACCTCCCACCAACAAACTAAACATACTAAACAGCTGTGAAACGTAGCCCGTGAAATACATTACATACATTACAAGCAAACTGAAAAAGCATATGCATCAATACCTATTGAAACCGTTAGTTTGATAAATTCATGTTACAAAAAGGGCAATATACCGTCTAAGTGGAAAGTTAATAGAGTAACTCCAGTCTTCAAATCTGGAAGTCAAAACGATTTATGCAACTACCGACCAATTTCTGTCATCGATAATTTTGCTGAACTATTAGAACAATCTGTCAAAAATCGAATAATAAATTTCATCAATAAACATCATGTAATAACACAGCAACAATTTGGGTTCATAAACAAATCAAATACTGAAAATGCCGTGCTCGATTTCGTGGAACAAACAGAGCCTTGGACAAGTCTTTGAAATGTCTTGCGGTATTTAGGGACTTGGCAAAGGCTTTCGATACTGTGTCACATGAAATCCTACTCAAAAAATTGTGTAATTATGGTATTAGAGGTCATGCTCTGGAACTTATGCAAAATTATTTAAAAGAACGGACTCTGTTAAAATTGGTAGCAAGCTTAGTGCAACATTACAAATCAATATGGGTATACCCCAAGGCACAGTACTTGGCCCGATCCTTTTTCTTGTTTACTTAAACGCAATAACACACATTAATTAATGTTATGGTCATATAGTGTGTTATGCTGATGATACGGCCATGCTCTTCACTGTTGAAACTTGGGATGAACTCTATAAAACTTCTGAAAAATTTATGACGTTTTCGCTGAATGCAGATGATCAGCAACAAATTAATGAACTTACATTGTACAAAATAACTTGCACGAATAGTTTCAGTTGTAAATGCCCAGTTATAGAAAAAACAGTATCGATGAAATATCTGGGACTTGTTATAGATCAACATATGAGATGGGACAAACAAGTATCATATGTAATACAAAGGATGAGACTACTAATGCGTAAATTTAAAGCTAACCTGAAATGCCATCGGAAAACAAATCCACATGTTTCTAGAAATGATATGACATCGAGAAAGGTTAATGCAGTCAAGCTGCTAGAAAATTATTCCATGAAAATCAAAATATAAATAGATAAGTACTATTTTGATCATTCCCATATTGATTTCAATTTAAGAGCCACCGGTAGACAGCTGTTTTAGCCTATTGGGCATCGTCAGTACCGGGCAGGCGGTCCTCGATTGAAGACAAGAAAATTACTTGATAACAGTAACATGTGGATTCGTTTTCCGATGGCATTTCAGGTTAGCTTCCCAAATTTCTGCTACCACAGTTGTCGGTTGATTAGTGAAACCACCAACACTGACATGAAAACTTGGCAAGTTGACTTGGGTGTCACACCAATAGGTAGTTCCACTTATATCTTAGGGAAGCTATAGATTACGCTGTAGACGACCCTTCTCGATATAGAAGGCCCCGACACTGTCGAATGAGGCCCCTATGTCCTCCGTTAACAGATGAATAATATCTTCATCCATCTACCCCAGCCAGGTAGGGGTACACCGCGAAGGGCGGTATGGATGTCTGAGGACTTTCATGCCACCATCACAGATCAGTCATGACCCATTCGTCCCTCTGACGAAAAATAGTCCAAAGGGTAAGGGAGCAAGGCTCCAGCTTGATAGAAACGATGATAACTATCACATATTGTCTTCAATCGAGGACCGCCTGCCCGGTACTGACGATGACCAATAGGCTGAAAAAGCTGTCTACCGGTGGCTCTTCAATTGAAATCAATATGGGAATGATCAAAATAGTACTTATCTATTTATATTTTGATTTTCATGGAGACATTTTCCAGCAGCTTGACTGCATTAACCTTTCTCGATGAATAACGAAATTAGTTAGCTCCCTAAATATATTATAAGATGGGAGCTGTTGGAAGGCAGGTTGCACTATATCGTTTACTTGAACTATACCTACGACCAACTGGCAAGATCTCCTGATACACTGCCCAAGATAATCGAAGAAAACAGTGAGCAAGACCTTGAGATTTGATCGAACTTGGTGTGCTTTTTGTGGTCACCAATTATGACCCTCTCAAGCTAATCTGGAACGCAACTGACGTCGATCAACAATTCCTGAACGATGCACATGCGACGGTTTTCTTGGTCAAAATTCCGCAATTTTGAAACGAACTTCCCTGTCACACGCTTCATGCTCAAAATTTCCGAAAAACTGGCATGGCATGAGCCACCCAATATGCTGACATCCTCAGCAACTTCTCCAATAGTGATTCAACGATTCTCCATAACGACTTTCTCACTTTTTCAACATTTTCATTGGTTATTGGTGTGCTGGGACGTCTAGGGCAAGCGTCGTCTTTCACATCTTATCGACCTTCTGTAAAAAGCTTGTACTACTTGTAAACATTTTTCTGACTCTGAGTACAATCACCATATGCCACTGTCACCATTTCAAGTGTTTTTGAGCACTGAATTCCATTTTTGCACAACATTTGATGCAATTTTATGATAAATTTTTTTCGATAGCAGAAAATAGCCGTAAAAGCTGAACACTTCTAACTTTAATACCTCCCACCAACAAACTAAACATACTAAACAGCTGTGAAACGTAGCCCGTGAAATACATTACATACATTACAAGCAAACTGAAAAAGCATATGCATCAATACCTATTGAAACCGTTAGTTTGATAAATTCATGTTACAAAGAGGGCAATATACCGTCTAAGTGGAAAGTTAGTAGAGTAACTCCAGTCTTTAAATCTGGAAGTCAAA